TGAAATTAAAAGGGTCAGACTAGAAGAGCTCTAAAGTTCACCCTGGCTCTAATAAGCTATGGCAATGCATGAACCTATGAGATGAGAAAACTAGGAACGGGGAATTCCCATTCTTGCTTTGCCTGATCACAGAGGACATATCCAGGAAGTCTTGGAGCTGGCCATAACCTCTTTGCAGCGTCAGTACATTGCTATGTCTCGGCAATACAGTTGAGGTCACTTGTCTGTATGTTTCAAAGAGCTCCCAACCAAAGCCTGGTCTTGCAATAAGAAACACTGGCCTGAAAGTCAATGAATTCTGCTATTCAGACAGCATAGTTTCCACACTCTTGACACTGATTGGCGAAGTAGAGAATTGAGCCAAGAAGGTCAGCATTCAAATGAATGCAATTTAAAGGCCTCCTCCAGAGTTTGCAGTGTTGAATATAGCTTAGCGAAACAATAATGAAGTACAACATTTCTAAACATTTTGCCCCTTATGCATTGGTCTACTCCCAAACACATTAAGAGAACCTTCTTTGCTGTTTGAGAAAATCACAGTATCATAGGGGAAGCACAGAGGCCATCTGGTCCAAACCTTGCCTGAAGCATAAATCTCCTCTACAACATTCTTGAAAAGTATTCACCCAGATTAAACCTTGAATACCAACAGAGAATCCTTTCCTTGCTCAGATAGCCTGTACCATTCTTAGATAGCTCTCATTGCCACAAAGTTGTTTTTCCCCTCAGGTGAAACTAAAATCTGTATTCTTTTAACTTCCATCAACAGGTCCTAGTTCTAACCTCCAGAGCAAAACTAAACTAGTCTAACACATCTACATAATCAACTTGAAATATTTGAAGACACCAATTATGCTTCACCTTTTTCAGGAAAAATATCCCTAGATCCTTCATTTGGTCCTTTTACGGCATGGTTTCAAGTCCCTTATCACTTCTGGTCTTCCTTATCTGACACAAGTTTGCTAATACTTTTCCTAACATGTGGGCTGTGGTATCAGGTAAACTGGAGTGCCCTGGCCAAGGCAGAATGTGGCACCCCAACCTCCATCAGGACACACTCTTTCTATGCATTTCTGTGTATTTGACCCAATAGACAGTTGTGAGAACTGTTCCAAATGAAATTTTTGATCAACTTGTATCTAGAATCGTCTACAACATGGTACAATTAGCTGAACAAGCACTTCTTGGTATCCATTATTTTTATTGTCAAAGGGTGTGTCTATCCCTTTAGGAAGAGATAGAGTCTCTGTCTATCAAGTGACATCTTTTATTACCATTGCTGATTCTTTTCTCTCCCCATGTTGTAAAGGGATTGGGCCTAGAGAAAGGAAGATCTTCATTAAAATTTTCTTTCCACAAAGGCACTACCACAGCATAGTGAATACAGAACCAGCCTCTGAGTCAAGAAGAATTAGGTTAAAGTCCCTCCTTTGAAATAAATTGGTTGCGTGACCCCTTGCAAATCACTTAACCATGCAGGGCTATAGTAGGTATTCCCTAAGACTATGTGGAAATATGCATTGATAGAGGGAGTTTCCCCACTGGGAGTTCACTAAACCAAAGAGATCATAGGTTCAGTCCCCCTAAAAAAAATCTCCAGGGTTTTTAGCTGTGTGGGGCAAGTAATCTAACCTTTTCAAGCCCCAGTTTCTTCACTGGGGAAAAAAAAAGAACAATGATATTTGCAGCCCCTATCTCACAGGGCTGCCCTAAAGCTCAAGTTCAATAATGTATATAAAGATCCTTGTGGAACTTGAAGTACTATATAAATGGTAGCTATATTACTATCTTTGTTGGATCATTTTGACAAAGTTGTTTCTTTAAAGGGTAAATTTGGTATATTAGAATTTATCAGACTGTGGGGATAGTGTTCAGAAATGCAATTAGAGGAATTCTCCAATGGTGATTGCTCGTGGTTTTCAATTTTACAAGCACAAAAAGAGAAAATGAGCACTTTGCTGTTAATTTCATTCTGAATGGATAAATTAATTTGGATGATAAGGTTGACATCATAGATCCTGCCTTACGGCCACTAGCAATATCATGGTTTAGTATGTTCCTGAGTTTTGTGATGTCCTCAAGGGGGTCACTTAGAGACTGCATTAGGAGTATTCTGGGAATGGAGGCGAGAATGCCCTTGGAGACTGACAGCTTAACCTTATGAATATAAGGTTAATAGTAAATAGTAGGGCTAACCTTTGGACTCAGGTCCTCTGGCTCTAAGTCCAATGTCCAACTTACCACCCCATAAGAAAGCCAGGCTTCTGATAGTTCAACCAATGTCCTTATAATTGCTAACTCCTCACCATAAGTACAGACTTGGTTTTTTTAAATTTTTTCTTTCAGTAGATCTGTATATAAATCCACCTTGAAAGGAAGGAAGGAAAAAGGGAAAGAAAGAAAGAGAGAGAGAAAGAGAGAGAGTAAGAAAGAAAGAAAGAAAGAAAGAAGAGAAAGAAAGAAAGAAAGAAAGAAAGAAAGAAAGAAAGAAAGAAAGAAAGAAAGAAAGAAAGAAAGAAAGAAAGAAAGAAAGAGAAAGAACACAATTACAACAAAGGTCAGTGTGGTTTTGGGATGTCCTTAATTCCTCCAAAGTATTTGGTAATATGGTATAAATTATGATTTATAGCATCCTCATAATACCCTCTTCTTTAGGTATGCCATAATTAACAACTGATATCTTTTTAACTGTGTCCATGATCCACCATCAACCCCACAATGTCCTAGTTAACAGGTGACATCATTTGACCAGAGACCTAGAAAGGACCTCAGCATTCAAACAGCATATTTCACAGATGAAGAAAGAGCCAAGGGAAGTTAATTTCTCCTCAATCTTGTTGGTTCTCTGTCCTCTGTCTGATCACATAATAATTCACCACCCACCTTCTATTTAATAAAATTCCTTTTCTCTCACCATCTTTTTCACAATCTTTCTTTCAATGAACTTGACTGTACCAGACAATTGTCCCACTTCACTTCGTTCTCTTCTGCAACCCTTCCAGTCCTGGAATCATGAACTATGGTCACAATTAATCTGCCATTGTTCCTGGATTGAAGTGTATCAATCTGCTTGGCCTTACTAACCATCTATGTTATTTCTAAATCAAGTGATCCACCATGTCTGCCAATTCCCTATGTGTGTTGTCTCCCCCAAATAGAATGTAAGGACAGGAACTGTCTTTTTTTTTTTTTTGTATTTGCATCCTTAGAATTTAGCATAGTAGATGAAACAAGAATGTTTTTTCATTCAATCAATCCACTCATTCATTCATTCATTCATTCATTCATTCACTTAAGGTCAAACAAGTGAAAAGCATTGGAAGTTGGATTGAATCCAAGTTCCTAGACTCCATGCTATTTTCTAATTATTAGAACAGGCAGAACATAATTAAATACTCCACTTCACCCCTGGAAAACACACACACACACACACACACACACACACACACACACACACAACACACACATACACCCCTTAGCTCCTACCAATAGAAAAAGGGTCATGAGGGAAAATAAGAGGCCACCTCTACATCAAAGAAAAAGCATTAGGGAGGTGGCTTTCTGTCTACTTAGTCAAAAGTAAATTATGATTTTGTCTCCATCTATTTGACTCTCTGTCTCTATCTCTGTCTCTCTGTATCTGTCTCTTTATTTCTCTGTCTCTATGTCTCTCTTTCTCTCTCTCCACCTGTCAGGTGGATTAAATCTGTTAGTAGTGTCCCAGTTGGACAGAAGCCTTAATTGTATGGCACGCTAGTCTCTGAACTGTCCCCAGTGCTTAAGCTGTTCAGATAGCAATGCCAATTGTTTGACAGCCACTTGGAGCAGGTTCAAAGTACTGACCTTGACTTGGAAGCTGATATTCTCAAGTGTATTCTCTCTACCCCTGTCCCTCCTCTACAATCTGTGACCTCTTCAGTCTTAGTTAATAATCTTTATGAGTTTTCCCACACACCCCAAAAATAATTCCCCAAAGGCTATCATCCGTGCTTAATAAATCTGACTCTCAGTTGACAAATGCACAGCCCATCTCTCAGGTCAAACCTAATACAATTCCCCCTTGGGAAGAGCTGCCACAGTGTATCTGAAACTGGAATGTCTTTTGAGAATCTCAAATTACCTCTATACCATGACTAGATATCAAATGAGAAACCAATTGGAGAAAAGCACATTACTTTTAAATAGATACTGGTGGGCTTCTATTCTCCCATCTTCTAATGACCGGCAGAATTGCCTGCTAATATTTTGTATATAGGCAGTGTCATATCTGGGGACCAATAAAAACATCAACATTGTCACTGCTACTGTGAGGCTTACATTAATCTGCTCCTTCGTGGCTCCAACAATCAACTGACTAACACTGTAGAAGCCAAAATATCCTTCCCTGGCTACTGTTTCCCTGTTAGTGTGGTCTCTTCTGATTACAATGTAAGTTCCTTGAGGTTCAAATTATTTTTTCCTTTTTCTTCTTCATATTTCCTGCACTTAGTGCCAAGTACTTGGCACATAGTAATTGTTTAATAGATGATTTTTGATTCATCAAAAATATTTACAATTTTAGTCAGTGAAATATTTCATTTAGTAAGCAATGGTAAACTAAGCTATCATGTGCCAGTAATAGAAAGTTCTGTGAGGGAGGAATCTGTGATTCCGTATTCATGGTGAATTACATAGATCCGTACAGAATGCAGTCAATCTTTGATGTCACATAATGGTAGCTAATTCCTGGAGAAGGGCCTGAAGTGTATAAAGGGTAAGGGACTTTTCCTGGCCTGCAAGGTAGGAAGCGTCAGGGGAGAGATCTGAACCCAGGTCTTTTTCTTTGGTCTTCCTATTTCTAAGCCTTGTATTCTATCTTTTGTGCTATGATGCCATTTGGGTTGAAATATAATATGTGCTGTCTTTAGTATACTCACATCATCCCATCTTGTCCTTGAAATTTCCCCATATTTATCAAGGATTACTCCATGTGCTTCCCAGAGATAAAGCCAGTCACTGACCTGCAACATTTGGAGATAGCCTTCCTGCGGATCACAGAGCAGCGAGGAGATGCGATGGTTGTTCCTTGTGCACTTCTGGTTATCCTTTGCTGATGGAAAGATCTGCCGGACCACAGTCATTCTTCCCAGTGCACTGTGCACAAGCTCCAGTATTTCTGGGTCACTGATTTCCTGGGAAAGAAAGCCAAACATCATCTCAACCCTTTATTGTTTGTTCTCAAATGAAAATTAGTCAACTTGACCTTTGGGGGACTACTGGGTTGCATGACATCACTCAACACTTGCTTCATAAATCACTTCCTCCCTCTTCCAACACCCTGCCATCCCACTGGACAGAGCTTCGTGGGGGAGGAAATTTGCATAAAGTTCTCATTTCCATGATGTAAGGAATTGATTTAAATTGACAAAACTGATTTTTATTTTTGTAAATTTTGTTAATTGTTAATAGCATAAGGATATGAAGAGGCAGGTCCCAAGGGAAGAAACATAGGCCATCTCTAGCCATATAAAAAGTGTTCCAAAACACCAATAATTAGATAAATAAAAATTAAAGCAATTTTGGGCTTCCACATCACATCAATTGAACTGGCAAAGAAGGAAAAAAAATCAATAGCAAATATTGTTGAACGGCAAATGTGGTTGATTAAGTCCTGCATGTGATTTTTTATCAGGGCAGGAAATTCCCAATTTGGAAACTTGTTTGACTGATGAAGATTTCCCCAAAATTCTCTATAGTTTATCATTTAGAAAGTTGGCTGGGGGAATAGAGTAGTTAGGAGACTTTCCTAGAGTCACACAGCCACTGTGTGTAATGGGTAGGACTTAATCACAAGTCTTCTTCACTCCAGCTATATCACCTTGCATGACTAATACTCTACCTGGGTCTTCAACCCTTCCTTCTAGCTCCCACCCTAGGACTGGATGCTCTTGATTGGTGAGAGCTTACAATTCCTTGGGTCACCAGTCACACTATGATGTAATTCACCCATTTTCATGCAGTACCACTTTACCTTACCCTCCCCCTGCCACAAGTTCAGAGCTCAACCCACCTCCACTACCATGATTTTCATTTCTTGCTCTAAGAAAAATAATCAAATCAATACTGCCAGCCTATCAAAGCTACATTTTGGAAAGGCCATATTAAACAAGCTTCATGACTCCATTCATCATTCCTCTGGGTTGCTGGACAAAAAGTCTCTGTGGATGCCACTCCTTGATATGATTTGTTTTCTCTTATAATGTAAGCTCTTTGCAGGCAGAGACTGTCTTGCTTCTTATATTTTCATCTCCACAGTCAATGTTCAGCATGGTGTCTGGCAAAAAGCAAATCATCAATTTTTTTTTCACCAGTTTACTCAATAATTAATGAATTGATTCCTTCTCGTCTCCAAGTCAGTATCTTATCTACTAAGCCAGGTTTCCTCAAGTTCTTCTGGTGTTTCGAACATTAAATTAAACTTAGAGAAACTCAATGTGCATGTCATTTTTGAAAATGTACCTAGGTGGCTTAGGGGATAGAGCATTGAGCCTGGAGTGAGGGAGACCTGAGTTCAAATCTGGCCTCAAATGTTCACTAGTTGTGTGACACTGGGCAAGTCATTTAACCTCTCTTTGCCTAATCCACTTGAGAAAGAAAAGGCAAACCACTCAACTATCTTTGCCAAAAAAACCCATACAGGGCCTAGAAGATTTGGCCATGACTGAAAAACTAAACAATAGCAATAAAAGCTATGGGACAAAATAAGATGGAGAAAAGATTTCTCTGCTCTAGGTGGTTCTCTCAGTGAGAAGTGGCTATTATTCAATAATACTGATGGTGACCTAGCAGATATGAACCGCTAGGATAGTAAAGAAGGGAACATTTTGTTTTCATTAACTCCTTCTGCTCAATCATTGAGAGAATATATGTTCTGTATGTGGAGGTTGGCATTGCAGGTCCTGTGTATATTGGCAATATGAGAACTGCTTTGCATAGAATTTATGTGTATGTGTATGTAAAATTGAGAGAAAGAAAGAGAAGAGAATAGAAGGGAAGAGAACAGAGGAGAAGAGGGAGAGCACCTGCACAAAGTAGTTAGAGCTGGGCTAAGCCATTTCCAGAAACAAAATGAAACCAAGGAAACTTGCTTCTATTCATTTCTACTTTGAAATGTTAAGCAGAGAAGAGCAGAGAAGAACTGGGAATACAGAAATTCACCTTAAAGTGTAATTCTTACCTTTACCCAGAATGTAAACACATCATTTATTGATTGGAATATTTAAACCTGTATGGAAATTATCTTCCCTTAACTATTAACTCTCACAACATAAGACTTACGCCTGATTATCTAGTTTTGCCCAGGGCCTTATAGTATTGCTTGCATAAGTAAGCATTTCCACAAAATAACAGACTCTCAGAGTCACAGATCTCAGAGCCCATATAATCCAACCTCTACCTTAAAAAAAAAAAGGTAAAAATAACTTTAAAAATCACCTCTATACCACATCCTAAAAGTGACCATCTAGCCTTCTTTACAAGAATTCCAATGATGGGGAACCCAATTACATCCCAAGGTAAATCTTTCCAGTGTGGGGCAGCTCAATTTGCTAGGAAGATTTTGGTTGATGATTTTGAAAATTAATGAACTGCTGATTTTATAGACACACAGACACACACACACATACACAGACACACACACATACATATATATGTATGTATATGTATGCATGTATGCATGGAAATACATGAGTATGTTTTACTGGATATATGATTTAATTAATGGAAGAGAATTTGCCAATGAGGAACTTTGTCTAATAATACAGAATGATACTTGTTCTGCAACTTATAATACAATTACCTAGACCAGTGAGAAGTTAAGTGACTTGTCAAAGGTCCCAAAACCAGCATAGGTCAGGGGTAGGACTTGAACTCAAGTCTTCCTGAGACCAAGGCTAGCTCTCCATTCAGCATGCCATGATGCCTCACTTATAAACAAGAACAGTGAATGTGTGACCCTGGTTACGGTTCTGGTAAAAACAAAATTATGCACAGACACACACATGCATGCACACAGACACACACATACACACAGATGTAAACACATACATGTGCATCAAATATATAGACACAAACATGTATAACAGAGTAACTTTCAAAAATAGATATAAGCATATCTTGTTAGCTATATAATGTTATTAAGCAACCCATTAAGATGATGTCACACACACACACAAAAGATGCTGATGTTCAATAGTAGAGGGAATTTCTTACAAGAGATCAATGGGCCAATGAAATCACAAGCCTAGTTCTGAAACAATGAACACTAACCACATCATGATGACTGTCATTGTCAGAGTCATCATACATATTACCCAATAATTAACAAAAATTTTAACAATTTATTGTTCCAGACTGGAACAGTTTGCCTTGTTAGGTAGCGAGTTTCTCATCACTGGAGTTGTTCAAGAAAAGGTTGGATAATCACCTGTTATGTATGCAATCAAGGGGACTCTTTTTTTGTACACAGTGTACCAAGGAGCTTCTGAGACCCCTCAAGAGCTGAGAGTCTGTGATTATATTCAAATGACTACTTCGGTAGAAATATATGAACCATTAGGATATTTCCTATACAAAGGAAGTCATTGGTCAAATCTTCTTTCCTGCCTCTCTTTATATGTAAACAAATGGTTAGATAGATAAATCTGTACCTATAAATGTATGTATGCAGTATATATATGCATCTATGTGTGTACATGTATATGAATGTGTATATATTCATATAACCATATGTGTATATGCATATATGTAGGGCATATGTATATATGTATAGACATACGTGTGAGTGATAATCATCTGCACAAATATGTATATTTTTATATCTACACCTATATCTATCTAAATCTACACACACATACACATATATGGAGATACGGAGGACTAATAACTGGCCTACAACTTCTAGTCTTATACAGGTACTTGGGAAAATGGGACATTGTTATTTGCCTAAAGTCACACAATTATTATTTATTAAGGAGATGACTTGGATTACTCTCTCTCTCTCTCTCCCTTTCTCTGTCTCTCTCCAATACAACATGGAACCTCTCATAAATGGCAATACAACTATAACCTAGAAAAAATGTTATTAATTTCAGGCCGCCTCAAAACGAAATGTACTTTTTGGTATTTAAAAATTGTTATTAAGGGGCAGCAGGAAATACTAGATAATTCTATATTTACAGAAGAATTTCAAAGCCAGTGGTTTATTTCTGAGTCATAGGATCATGATTAAGTTGGAAGAAACCTTGGAAATTACCCAATCCAACCCCATCACTTTACAATGAATAAGCTTTGGCACTGAGATGTTGAGTGACCTGATCATTGTCACACACATTGTGAGAGGATTTGAATCTACATTTTCCTAATTCCAAATCCAGGGCTTTCTCTACTAACCGCATTGTGCTTCATCTGCTTTGGAAATTTAGAATCTTCATTTTACAGTTGAGGAAACATGGATTTGAGAGAGGCCAAGTGAAGCAGTTGAAGGCCAAATGACTGCTTAGTACTAGAAACTGAGGCCTAACATCCAATTTCAAGTATCCTCCCCACTATAGCATGCTACCTCTAGCTAAAGGCTTTCATGTTTGAATTTTACTAGAAATTAACAATTTTTAAAAATTCTTTTTTGCTTTAGCTTATTTTTTTAAAGTACGAATGAATAAATCATTTGACTTGAGTTAATCACTTTGGTGTCCATTCAGCTCAATCCAATTCAGCAATCATACATTAAATGCCCACCAAAGAATAGGTCCTTGGCAGGGCCTGGAAAATCACAGATAACAACAAAATAATTCCTGACCTGGAGGATTTTATGGAGGGCAGCTAGAGGCACCACAGTGCACAGAGTTGTCTGTTAAAGTCAGGAAGACTCAACTTCCCTAGTTCAAATGTGGCCTCAGACACTTAACTAGCTATGCGGTCCTTGATGAGTCACTTAAGTCTAGGTTAGTCAACAAGCATTTTCCATATCTATTTCATATTAGGCACTGTGCAAGTCTCTGGGAATTAAAAAAGAAAGACAAAAGACAGGCCTCACTCTTAAGAAGCAAGGGGAGATAATACATAAATATCTATGTACAAACAAGATACAGACAAGATCAATTGGAGGTAACAGAAGAAAGGCTCAAGCATTAAG